AATTAAATAAAGAAAGCAAAATATTAATAGCTTTAAGAGAGAGAAAGGCTTTCTTCTCAAAAAAAAAAAATTAATAATAAGTGGGATTCCTAAAAAATGCAAACTATATAATTTTATTCTATCACTCTTCAATAAAATATTTTTAAAGTAAAGAAAAGTGGGGTTGGGGTTGGGGTTCCCATCAACGGGCACGGTATTCCTTTTGTTGGATTTTCTACGAAAGTGATATCCCATAAAGATATCCATTGGAGTTGGCTTTGTGAGGCTTGTTCAAACCCATCTCTTACCCCATCCTATATCTCGTAACTTCAATAAAAATTGCCTACACATGGTTTAGAAAATAAATATTTTTTTATCACCCATCTAGAAAACAAACATTGCTTACATAAGATGTAAAAAAAACATTGCTTACACATGATCTAAAAGATAAACATTGCTTAAAATTTGATCCGTTGCTTAACTTCTAAAGTAAAAAAATTCTCAAGATCTCAGATAGTTTTTACCCATAAAAGGAAAAGAACCTCCTATTTTATTATTAAAAAAATATTAATAATTAATGTGAATAGTTGACTTTATTTAGAAATGATTATATAAGAAAGACAGCACTCGTTCATAGGAGCAACCAAGCAAATTAGATCGATTTCACATATTTTGGCGATGGCAAGTTCCTCCAGCTTAGTCTCAGCGAATGTAAGAAGGTAAGTAAATTTTACAAATAATTTCATGAAAATATAAAAAGAGAAAAAGAAAAGAAGTGTAGGTCTTAACATTGATGTCTATGTTTTCAGACTAGAAGGGAAGGTTGCCATCATCATCGGCGGCGCTAGAGGCATGGGTGCGTCCGCTGTTAGAATCTTTTGCAAACATGGAGCTAAAGTGCTGATCGCCGACGTCCAAGATGAGTTAGCCAAATCTATCTGCAACGAACTGGGGCCTGAATCTGCTTCCTTCATTCACTGTGACGTCACAAAGGAAGAGGATGTCAAAAAGGCCGTGGACACTGCCATCTCCCAATTCGGAAAGCTCGATATCATGTTCAACAACGCCGGTATCATTGGACCAATTGCGAAACCCGGCATTTTAGATAGCAGTGTCTCTGAATTCCAGCAGGTCCTTCGTTTGCAATTGAGTCTCAATAAATATATATTTTTTCTTTTTGGGCCACATTGACTTGAAAGAAGATTCTACTAAGTCACTTAATTGTTAGCCTTAAATGTTATTTTGTTTATGAGAAAAAATTAATATTTTTGGGTGTTTTTGCTGATGAAAACATTCTAACAGGTTCTTAATGTGAACCTCGTTGGAGCATTCTTAGCGATCAAGCATGCAGCGCAGGTGATGATTCCTGCTGGTCAAGGTAGCATAATCAACACCGCTAGCATCGCTTCCATGTTTGGCGGTGCTGCCTCACACGCCTACACAAGTTCAAAGCATGGTGTGCTTGGGTTGATGAGGAATGCTGCGGTAGAGCTGGGACAATATGGCATTCGCGTGAATTGCGTGTCACCATATATGGTGGCCTATGAAGAGGCGACAAGGAATATGTTCAAGAAACCTGGAGTTGCAAATCTCAAAGGAGAGATTCTGGAGCCAGAGGATGTGGCAGCGGCGGCACTTTTCTTAGCAAGTGATGAGTCCAAGTATGTGAGTGGACACAATATGATCCTTGATGGAGGCTTCACTATTACAAATTCAGGTTTTTCTATTTTTAACCTGAATCGTAGGTCACAAATTATCTAATAATTTTGTAATAAACTTGAATAAGTAGTTTTGCTCTTCCTACAAGAGCTGACTAATAGGGTTGAAGATTTTATTTACTATAGCTGAGTGAGTATGTGTTTTACTGAAATTAAAAAAAGAAAAACCTATAAATTTTAATATGCATAATAAAAGTATTGATATAATTATCAAGGTCGTGGCTGTACTAAATGTGAGCTTTCTTCAAGACTTAAAGTATTATTAATTTAGATCTAGTTTATTGTATGTATGATTTTGATTTGTTTACTAAATCGATCAATATGTATTCAAATTATATTTTTATAAAAAAATAATATTCTAGCTCTTTATACAATGCA